TATTAGTCTCTTGGATTTTTCTGAAGGAAGCTAGACATATTTAAAATGTCGAAGACAAAACTTTTGCATTTCACCAAGATCAACGAAAGTGCTATGCACACTTCATATTTCATTAGTTATCGAATTATGAAAACTGGTAAGGGACTCAAAATTGATAGAACTTCAGTGCTCCCAGCGATAAAAGATGAAATTGAATTTTAAAGGGTTAAAATGAAGAAATCTGAAAAGAGTTAAAATGAGGTCGAAACAATAACACGTTTAAATAACACAGTAGCTCTCAGAACTGATGAAATGTCCCAGTGGACTTTTTTTTTAGAATTTCCGCAAATTTTCATATGGAAGATTATTTTTGGATCTATTCATTAAAAGATTATATATATATAAGTACGTGTGTATTTAAAATTTTGAAACTTTTCCCAAAGATAAATACAGTTGCGTAAAAATACTTTTTAAAGGTATGAGGTTTACAACTTTTAGTTGCACAAATAAAAAGTAAAATCTATTTGCATAAATAACATCTACATAAATAATACATGATTTTTGCTTTGGGAAGGATTATTATAAATTCAATAAAAAATACCATATCAAAACTTTTCGATTTATAGCTTAAACTTAACGTAAATACATTTAGAGCACATTTTCTGACACATTTTATTAGTGGTATTTTCTGAAAAAAATAGCTAACTGTGGCTTTTAAATTACACAAGATAAAAGCGATTTATTGTTAATATAATGTTCTTCAGTAAAAACCTTATACTGCAAACAGAACAATAATATGAGCTGAAATAATAACATTAAAAAACATGGTGCTTCTCAGAAAGATTATTTATACTATGTATTGAGTCACTAAAAATCAATAGGGAAAGGAAATTTTTGAACACATTTTGTTAATACTGTCTTGCATATAAATGAATCACAAAAATTTTAATTCAGCTTAAGAATAATAAAAGGTAATTTAGTTAATTAACTAAATATAATAAACATTTCGAGGTAAATCTGTCTTAGGCGGAAATTCTTCGGGCAAAAATTCCTAAGGAAATTATATTGTATTCTTCCTAGGCATGAGGATGAGCAACCAACTCGACAGACACCTAACCCGGAATGAAATGTCAGTGCTGAGTTAGTTTCCTTTCTCCTCTGACGCTCTCATGAGCCCCTTTCGTGATACAGGAGTTTTTTTTATTGTCTCTTAATGACGCGCTTTTAATTTTCCAAAAGCTATTCTTGCTATAGAAAATTTTTCATTTTTCTTTAAATATAATGATTCGGATAATATATACATATATTTATACGCACCGTGTCACCGAAAGTCCCTACTCGGCCTTTATTTTCGCACCGTTGTTCGTAGACATATAAAAATCTTTTAAAGAATGCAAAGATTCAAGTTTTTGTGATTTTAAATTTAAAAAAAAAATAATTTTGCATTCACACGTTCTTCTAGTCCCTGTACTTATATATTTTGGAAAATTTATACTGGTTATAAAAAATAAAAATACAAAAAGTTTGACTCATGTTTGACAAAAATTGATTGAGGATTTAATTTCAATTTTCCGGTATTTGACATTATTTCGAATTTTAACTAAAGGGTCGGTTAATAAATAAATTAAGTTAATTAGAGATTGTTTCTTCCTCCCCTTTTAAATGCCATTCAATGACAATCTTGTAGAGACATTAGGATTTTTTGGAAGCAGACAAGATGCAAAATATGCAACGCTCGAACCGCGGACCTCTGGAATACGCGCCCAGCGTGCAGACCACGACACCACGAAGGCACGCTAAGAAGGCGGCAGAAATACCTAATATACTCCCCCCTTTTAAAGGGCGACTGGGGTTTTTAGAGGACCCAATCGCCAAATCCTGGGTGTGGAGAATTATCATCCAACACCCTTTTAGTTCCGGCGACACTGTAGAGACATTAGGATATTTTTGGAAGAAGGCAAGATGAAAAATATGCAATGCCTTCGCCGAGAATCGAACCGCGGATCTCTGGAATACGCTTCCAGCGTGCAGACTACCACACCAAGAAGGTACGCTAAGAAGGCGGGACAAATGCTTTATAATCTTTTCTGATTTCGAAATGCCTTTATAATGTTGCTACATTTGATTTACCGGAAAACTTTCATATAGGTAAATTACAAATTGTTAAAGTTCAAAAATACGTTCTTAATATTCTCATGAAGTTTTATTACTTTAGAATCATAATCTGTTATTCATAAAAAATTTATTAAAGTACAAATACTTTTCATTATTCATTAATGCAAATAATTATTCTAGTTGGCTGTGGCCCAATACTGAAGCCTGCCAGTATTTTTAAGAACAGGAATTCTATATTTTCAAAATAAGATCTCCATTTTGAGGAAGAAATATATTGATTAATATTTTTCAAAATAATCTGCATACTAATGCTCGTCACTGCATACTGCACTCATACGACTTTGTACGAAACTTAATGACCGGAAGTAGTAGAAACGTTGGAAATTTGAAGTTGCTAATAGCTACCAGCTTAAAGAAGTCTACTACTTTGACATTGTTGGTAATATTTGTTTAAGTATAAATCCTATTCAAAATAGGCCTGACATACAAGTTCCTTTGCAATAGCAAGTTCCTTTGTTATTGAAAAAAATGACTTATACTGTTAGTTACGGCAGAAAGGATGGGTAAGGTATGTCAAAATATAAATTACAATATTAAGAATACGAAATTTGGTCGACATCAGTGGCCATAAGAATCAACATCAATTTGATTAGTAAACTGTATTTCTGTTTCTTAGGTAGCATTAATACCAATGATAACAGCGTGCTAGCCGATTTCAAGAAATACTCCACATATAAATCCTCTTCTTATGCAGAGAACAACTCTTAAGCACGCTTAATTACGCAGCAAACTTACTGTTCTTAACGAACGCGATGTTTCAGATATAACAATTGGATTAAATTTTAAAACAGGTTCAAAAGCCTGATGCAAATAGCCGTGTAAGCAAAAATAATGATGAAATTTTCATAGGTACTCGATGCAGGCTGTATCCACCTTCCTACACTACTGCCTTCAATTTACATTTACATAGTTTGTAATACATTTGTTTGCGTGTTTTTTAGAAATGTACTCAAAGTTCGTATACAAAAACAAAATAAACATGACTTATCAATACTGTATAACTTAAATAAAAAAATGTTAGTTAGCAGGATATTTAAACTCAATTTCTAAAACTGAGTAACTGTACTCTGAAACCGCCGGTTTATGTGAAGTTATATTTCTGTAAAAAGTAGCGGAATAGTTTTCTTAGGAACATTATATAATTATAATTTCGCGCATTTGCATTTAGTAAGTTTTTACCAACTGTTTTATTGATCCTTAAAGGTTAATGACTTCTTATGTTTACTATTATGTTTCATTTTACGAAGCCCTTTTAGCTAAGCTTACAAGTTTATAAAATCGTCCACTATATTACGGAATGTCTAATTGCTACTTCAATGAATATCACATAGTTTATTCGCTAATAATGTATATCCCAATGAATAATAATGAATAAACTATAGGGGTTGGACAAAAATATGGAAACACCTTTAAAAAAAACATGTTTCTTTGCTTAATATGGTGTAGGAAACCCGTTGGCCAGTCTTCTCGGAATGGATAAATACAGTTCCTGTATGTTTGCCAAGGGAATATTATACCATTCTTCCTGCAAAACGGTGGCAAGTTCAGATAACGATGTTGGCGCTGGATAACGATAACGCACTTTCCGTTCCAATGTAGACCACAAAGGTTCGATAATATTCAGGTCTGGTGACTATGGTGGCCAGGGGAGATGGGACAACTCATCCTCGTGCTCAGAAAACCAGTCCTGGACAATGTGAGCTGTGTGAACAGGGGCTTTGTCGTCTTGGAAGACACCATCACCATCGGGCAACAAAGTTTGTACCATGGGATGAACTTGATCGTCCAAAATATTTACATAAGTCTTGGCAGTCATGTGCCCTGACACAGTTATCATGGGGCTAGGAGAGAACCACGATATGGCTGCCCAAACCATAACAGAACCCCCGCCATGTTTCACTCTTGGCAACAAGCAGTCTGTATTATAGGCTTGAAATGGCGTTCTCCAGACGTAAACTCGGCCAGAAGTGGGAAACAATGCGAAAGAAGACTCATCAGACCATATTACTCGTTTCCACTGCTCTATAGTCCAGGCTTTATGACTTAAACACCACCTTTTCCTGTTACGGGCATTAGCATCACTGATGAGTGGCTTCTCAATTGCAGCACGGCCAGCAATTCCCGGTTTATGAAGCTTCCTTCTAATTGTTTTGGTATTCGCAGGGTTCGGTAACACAACATTCATTTCAGCAGTAAGTTTTGCAGCTGTGGTCTTCTTATTTTTCGTCACAATTGCCGTTAATGATCGTCTGTCACGATCACTCAGGACACACTTTCGTCCGCGCTGTGATTTAGCAGATGATGTTTTTCCGATTTTCAAATATGCGGAATAAATCTTCGATACAGTACCTCTTGAAACACTAAACAACCTCGGCTACCTTGCTTACGGAAGCACCTACCATACGTGCTCCAACAATTTACCCACGTTCGAAGTCTGTTAACTCTGACATAATGACAACCTCACATAACAGTACTCCGACAACAACTGAACTGTTTAGCACATTTACGAAGTTGTATAGGTGGCGTCAGTAGTCAAAAACGCTAGCGCCACCTACATATTTCATTAAAATCAATCTTTCTTTTCAAACATGCATTTCACAAGGTGTTTCCATATTTTTGTCCATCCACTGTATGTATGTGATATTCAATGAATATCACTAAGAACTATAATTAGAAATGTTAACTTAAAATCAAAATTTATTCAGCAAATTCAAATATATTGAATTCTATTAATGTTTTTATTTACTTAGTAAAAAAGGTAGTATGCTTTAGACAATATTAAAATTCTTGTTTATGTATTTTTTGGTTATAATGTGATTAATTCGGTAGATTTTTTTTTCTTAGCCAGTGGTATGCGCCTAGCGAGACTGGAAGTTCCTGGAGCAGTGGTCATCGGAGAGGATGTTTGGCTCAAGTGCGATTTTGACCTAGAAGGAGATGAACTATACTCTGTCAAATGGTACAAGAACAATGTGGAGTTCTACCGGTATCAGCCTAGGGATAGACTTCACGGGCAGATGTATGACCTTTTAGGAGTGTATGTCGAAGTAAGATAAATTCTTAAAAGAGTAAAAAAATAAAAGATATTTCAAAGGAACGAATTTGAAGCAGCAGTACTCTTCCTAAACACTAAATCAGACACCCCTCTTTTTTAACTGTATGAATTAAATTAACTAATTAACTAAAAAATATCACCTTCGGGTACGTAATTAATGCACATGCAGAATGGCGTAGATAAATCGTATAAATATGAACTGTTTAACATGTTAAATTTATTATAACCTACAATCTAATAATTCCCTTTTAATCTACGGTCATCAGGGAAAGAGCGGCTATGACTGCTGAACACTGGTAGTCAAATTTTGCGAACGAGTCGTTTTGCTGCAAGTGCGTTTTTATAGTTATTTTCCATGCTTTACACGAATGCGACACAGTTTTCCTTAAAAACCTTTCCATGAATGCCTCTCTTCCTCTTAAACAGAGAGCCGTAGTGAACTTTTATATATCTAATAAACCCGCTACTCTCCAATGTATATCTATCAATTTATAGATTATCGAAATTTAGTGAAAGCCATAATTTCAGACATATTTCCGGTGATATAATTAATCATTCAAAAGCCGCTAACAATTGTTTTGTATATATTTTTAAAAAATGCTTTTTTATTCCCTTCGATACTAAAAAAAAGACTAGAAAACATTTTTTAGATTATAAAGTAACAAAACTGTTATTAAAATGGTCACCAAATTAACAAAAAAGTAAAAATTGTTGATATGATTTTTGAAGATATATCTATATAACCTTTCTGAGTAAGGAAGCTACACAAGACTTACTTTGTTTTCTGAAATACTTCTAAAGTTCACTTAACTAATTAAACTACAGAATTGGTCCGGCAATTTTAACTGTGTTGTTTTTAACAATTACGTTAAATTTCACTATATATTATACTTGTATATCTGAGCTCAAAATAATCTAAAGGAAGTAAATCTGTGCCGTGATGTTAGATTAGATTGCTACTTTTGATTGGCATGTATTCCACTATTACACTTATTCTTTTCACTATACACTTATTCTTTTCAGAAGAAATTTCTTGCGCTATGAAAGAATGTATATCATAGATGAAGAAATCTATGAAATATATTCCTTCTTTTCCTAAAGATAGAAAATTTAATTTTACCAAATAATTTTTTTTACTATAAAAATTATAATATCTTGGAAAGTTTACGACACATTTTAACTGTAAATTTAGATGAAAAGAATTGTAAGCAACTATTAAAGCCTTTCAAACTATATATAGCTAGATATATAGTTACATAAAAATTATAGAATTTAATGTGAATGAAAAAAAAAACCAGTGCACACCAGAAAAAGCAGAAATTTGGGCCTGTTTAAGATATACCTGTTTCTTTGTCTGATCTTTTTTCATTTAGTTTTAACCGTAAGTTAGGATCCAATTTTAATTTTGTTCTGTATTTATTTTTCAAATATAACATGGAAGAAAATCTTTGATCACAAAAATAGGTTTTGAAAAATAAGAAAGTGCAAAAAGGCAATAAAAATTTAATAGTTTTATTTGAAGTGAGTTTAAATTCTTTTTTTCGGTTCAGCCAAAAGTTAACGAGTGTGTTATTTTTGAAATCTTCAGTTAGAGTTCGATCACAGGAAATTTCTATCAATTGTTCTTTTTCTTCACGAGATTTTTGAATTTAATAGTTAAAATACTTTGGCTCTTTGCGAACCACCTATTTTTTTTCTTTCACCGGTTGAGAATCGCTGGCCTAAACTCTAATACTAAATCTTCTAGGCTTACCTCATTAGAAAGTTTATCATATCGCACAATTCGCAAACTGTGATCCTTTCAAGCGTTCTCGTACTATTCAACATAAGCCCTGCAAATTAAATTTCGCCAACGCAGGCCAAAAATGCAATAACTTCGTTTTTCTCCTTGCTCATAGTTATTAAAACTCATCAAAGCAACAAATATTAGACTAAAGACCGTGATTCAACTGGAAAAGCATTAGGACTTTGTTTTGAATTCTCTACATCATTTTGTATTTTCATTTATCACGTATTCAACTTTCATATAACTTGCAAAGAAATGAACTTTGCTCTCGACAAATTGGGAATAGGACTTTGTATCTTACTTTAACCCATATTATTACTCTCAAAGTAGTTTATTATTCTAGTGTTAGCGCATTTATATACTTTGCAAATAATTTTCAAGTCCTCATAGCAAGAATATAATTTCTTGATATATAATCTACTTCATCTAGGTTTATTATGCTTCAAATTTATCTTGCATTTTCCATATAGCAAATAACATTTTCATGTTTGTTTAACTTCGCAAAAGCGCTTATTTCCAGCCAAAAGCCTCAGAGCACTACGCCAACTAGAAGTCAGAACTCCTAGCGGTTGATGCCTCAAGAACCACCAGAGATATCCGATTAGAAAGTTTGCCTTCAACTGCATCCAACTCTGAAATAGAATTAGAATAAGGTCTAGCTTTGGGACAAAAATCTTCTACCTAATTAAACAAAGAAACAGCATCGGCAGAATAAACTTTCGTGTATTATTTTATATCTTGTACTTTAACGTATTGGAAATAAAACGGATTTCATCGTAGTTAAGTGATCATCAAGAGTCTGATAATTATTAATTACCCTGTCTGTTTAGAAGTGAGGAAATATTTCTGAAAGAAGCCAGCTGTGTTAAGCTTTGGAGGTATTCAACTGTTAGGAAAGACAAAATGTCAGATTGAGCGTATTAATGGAAGTATCGTTTTTCTCACCTCGCCATGACTACTGCTTGACCATCTCACTTTTCAGAACAGGTCTCCAAACTGTTGCAGCTCAAGTGAATATAAGAACAACTGTCTGTACCATCTATTACCTTTCAGTTAATTGATGGATAAAAATAATTAGATTTTATGCCGAAACAGTTGATTACTCTATTCATTTCGATCGGTGATTTCAAGGGCTATAATCTTCTATAGGGAAGTAAGAGACATAAGCGTTCGGGGAAAACAAATAGAGCATCTGAATCAAGATCACTGCCTATATGTTCTTAGAAATGAAGAAAAAACTTATTTGTAGTATCGATCTGATCATTTGTTTACCATCATCTCTTCCATTTGGTTCAATGAGTGTTGGAAATAGTGATCCCTTCCAAATTTTTATAACCTTTAATGAAGTTGAAGCATTTCCAATTTCTAGATCACCACGCTTTATTTATGAATAAGAAAGCTGGGAACTGTTTCGTATTTGATTCTGCTCACTGGCGACAAAATAAATTATGGGACAATCGATGATGCTGTGAACTTTACTAACTATCTGTATCACCTACTTGTCTTTTAATTAATTGATAGATAAAAAAGAAATAGAGGTACTTTTCCGTTTCGCCGGCGCAAATCTCGCCAAGCAGACTTTATTGGCGACAACATACAGTATACACATAAAAAATATTAAAAAAATTTTAGTTCTAAGAATTCTTTTTTGAAGGCATAAACATTTTAATATCGCTTAAAACTTTATAAAAAGACAATAAATTTGCAAAAAGACATTAATTTAAGAATTTACTATGCTTTCAATTTAAGAATTTACTATGCTTTCATTGTTCAACATCCTAATTCGCCGGTTCATATCACGTGACCCCAAGCGATCTCATCTCACGTAAACTACTCTACAAAAATCTAATGCTCTCAGTAATTATCTACATTAATTTCAAATTAAATCTTAATTTGAAACACAAGTTTAAATGCAAGAAATATTTCAATGCGTACGAATAGCTTACTCAGAAATTATGTAAAACTGCAGTGCTTTACTTCGCTAATGCATTCTCATTAGAATTGATGAATTTAACCCTTGACTTTGCCTTTTCTATATTTTCGGCTTCCGGTAAGCGCTGTGATTGCATCCTATTTGACTTAATTACCGAAAATGGCCTTGGACATAAAACTGAACTATCTGATAAAAATTATATGTAATTGTATGCCACTATTGAAAGAAACAATCAATCTGATAAGAAAAAGCTGCGACTTGTTTTGAAAATGAGGCGTAAAAGGTTACCAGCGAGAATATTCCGTTTGACATCGGTTGTACCATTATTGGCGACTTTATCGCTTGCGCCGGCAAAACGGAAAAGTACCGAAATGGATATTTACCATTCTGATACTCTTACTCAGGCATCTTAAATTTCTTTTGCCATGTCATCAGGCAGGCTTCGAAAGTATCCCAAACCATGGTGAAATTATGAATGTTAAGCAACTTACAGGATAGCAAAGAAAAAATTGGGGAATTATCGTAGATACCGCATGCTTAGTAATTTTATGCAAAGGGGAAAATGAGAGTTGAGAAAGCGTACCTTTAGAAGGATACCAGAATCGCTTATATCTCATCCATTGTGTGTTCACCTCCAAGCAAGCGTGTTTCAGTGAGAGTTAGAAAATGCCTCAGGTGTTTGAAGGACCATGGACTTGCCATTTTTGAAAAAGATGGCTTAACATACAGCAGGAGAAAAGGTATGGATTTATCAAATATGAGACATTTGGTGCTGTGTCAAGTAGTAGCAATTACCTACCAAACTTCCGCTTAGCTAAGCTCTATTGAAAGAATTCACCAATTGAACCCATTGTTAAAAGACCCCATCAATTTTAAATATTTCAGTACGGAAGCATATAATATGAGTTTCGCTACATTGGAGATGAAAAGTAGTGGCTCTGAAATTTAAGACTATCACTGGCCTTGATGTTATCAGATGAACCATGTTGAAGTATTTGTACATTAAATCATACAGACTCCTCACAACAGAGTCTGAAAAGAGGTTATTGTGCCTAGTGCCTAGTTTCCTAGTGTAGTTATTCCCATCGTCAAACCTAGAAAGGCCTAAAAGAATTCTTCAAATTAGCGCCCTATCGTTCTCACGAGCTGCCTATGCGAACTTGCGCAGAAAAGATAAATTGTCGCCTTGGGTATTATTTGAAGTAAAATGGCCCAAACTTTCCGGAAAAGGCAGAGGAACAACTTATAATGTTCTTTTCTGGAGCCCGTAGTATGTAATAACTTTCTCTTAACAGGATTCAGTTGGTGTCAATATTTTTTTACATTTTAATAAATATGTACTAGAAGACTTGTATGGGATTTTCCAATATCTTTATCACTGTGACATGTGGAGAAAACTTAAAATTTTCATTTATTGTTCCTTGAAGGACAGCGGTTTCAAGTAAAAGGCGGATGGTTCAGATGAGAGAGTACAATAAGACTGCATGCTGAGTTCCGAAAGAGTTTCCAGTTCCAGCAAAGTCAAAAGTGAAATTTCTAGGAGTATCTGATTAGAAGCTAATAAGAAACTAACATTTATTTCCCGGGTTTTATACCTAAAAAAAACGGTATACGAAAATATCTCCAGATAAAGCAGGAAAAGCTTCAATACTTCGAACTTACAGAAATCTCATTCGCTCCGAAGGGCCCACCAACGGCCGAGCGGTAAAGTCGCTGAACACTGGTAGTTCGGTCCGAGGTTCGAATCCCGCGAACGGGCTGGCTGCATGGGTGTTTTCGTGTTTTCCCCATGTGTAACGTGTATACGAGCCAGTTTGCCTTAGAAAGTCCTCCACGAAAGGCATCCCTCCTCTTAGGCAGATAGCCCTAGTGTGCTTTGCCATAATTAAATACACCACCACACCACACCATTCGCTCCGAACTTGGTAATCGATGGATAGTTTGTGGATTGGTTATAGAATCTACGTCTTCGTTTAGGGAACATACCATTTGAACCTATGTCGAAGACGAAGTAGCGAATTTTTGCTATGTCTTTTGAAAAAATAATTTGCAGAATAATGTTTAAACTAACCTTTTATTTTAAACTAAAATGAACATATGCATGCACTTTGTGCTCACAAATCATCACCACTTGTGGCTACGTAAATTACCAGAAAATAAGAATGTGATAAATCACTAGTAAATTAAGATATCTAATGACTGGCTCCGTAACTTAACTAACGCTAAATCAGCTGCCCACAGCAAAACCGAGCCGAGAAATATCAGTATAAACTGGAAGTTGCCGAACACCGAACTAGGAGAGCTAACTTTAAACTCGCAGCATAAACATCGGAACTAAGTTCGCTACTAATACTTTTGAACTCCTGAAACAACGCAGCTTAAATACTGCTTCAGAAACACGCTTAGAATTTGCATCTATGTCATTACAAAATTAACATTCTGGCAGTAAACTGAAATCGGAGGGAACAGGAAAGACAAACTATAAATAATTTGTTAGAATAAAATAAATCCTTACATGGTATGGATTTCTGTATTCTTCAAGTTCGACCCTCATCACCCCAAACTATGTAAATACAGTATTACTAATATAAATTAAACTGTTTTCCTTAGTATCCGCATTCAAATATTCCTAACTTAGAAAAAACGGTGTTGCGTTTAGCTTCCTACCAAAAAGTATATAATCTTTTTCTCTCTGAATTCAATATGTTTTCAGCAGTTAGAGTGATGTTTCAACAAAAGTTAATGAAAATAAGTTCAAACTAGCCTTTTGAAAAATTGTCGGAAAGTGTTTATGAGATTAATGTAAAAGAATGGAGTTCTACTTGTTCAGCTTTTGAATGAAGTGGCCACGGATGGAAAAACCAAACAAATGGCTGACAACTCTAACTTTAAGATAAATGGCTTTGCGTAAGATAAATAGCTCCAGTCTGCGCAACAGTTGCCATAATTGTGAATATAAGAAAATCATTTCAGAAAGCATCTTCCAAAAAGCAGGCTTTGGAAATTAAAATATGTTATTTTTTATTAATGAAACAACATCAAAAGGTCACGAAAAATTACATCAGGTTCAACATAGCATACTCAATCAAAATCGTAAAAACAACCTTGTATTTAGCGTAGGTATAATGAAACACTCAATCGATTTCGAGGGCAGCTAAAGGTCCCTCCTCATCAGGAGAAAGAAATCAATCGATTTTGAGGGCTTTAGCTGCCCTCGAAATCGATTGAGTGTTTCATTATACCTACGCTAAATACAAGGTTGTTTTTACGATTTTGATTGTCACATTAGCGTGTTTCTCTTCTAGTATAGCATACTCAATAGATACTCAAGAAATAATCAAATATTAATTTCAAAATATTTTTCTTAGTAGAAAAGTGATATGTATTACTTCCTTAATTTTAAATGCTTCAAAATATATTTTATTGTTTAATGGGAATTATTATTCATAATTTTGTTTTATTTACTTAAATGTTTCGCTGATTTGTACCGGTGCATTACAACTTCAGATGAATTCACCACAAATAATAGTTCCTGCATCTAAATGAGGTCTTTTCATGAGATTGAGTAAATCTTGTTTTAGAACAAGCATTCTGAAAGATAATACGTTAGTTAATTTCTAATTTACTCAAATGTCCATTAATATGCTACATTCGTAGTTAGAACAGAATTTCTATACATTTTCGCTTTTAGAAAAAACGATACATGTAAAATAAGAGTTATTATCCAGATGTACTCATGCATTAATGGCGGAACATTCTGATTAAACTGATGATACGTTTCGCGTAAAACAATATTTTGACTATTAAAGTTTAGTATTAGAGAATATATATAGTAGCTTTAAAATGAATTTTTAGCTACACATGTCATTTCTATCAGTTTACAGCAACTAAATTTGAACCATGATTTTAAACGATTTACTATGTTTAACTAAAGAGCATATAAGTAATGAACTTTAACTCAAATTTACTTTTATTTTCACATAACGTAAACTGCTTTATACGGTCAAAACCTAATAAAAGCACTAGAACACCGAGCTATTATAAGTGGTTATTAGATAATATAGTTAGACGTGCTGATTTCAATTGTTTGACAGTGCCTTAAGTGAGCATTATATATCCTCACTGTATCTCTGTCTCTGGCTTGTTTCTTCACTAGAATGTATGGATATTGACGTAAGCTGTTACTCAATTCACGTCAGTGATATAAAAAAATTAATTCTTAATTAAATTAATGAACTTATGCGTTTATTATAGTTCGTCTTAATAAGAAATAAAATATGAGATTTCATTGAAAACCTTCAATTTTGCTGCAGTAACAGAAATGATTTAGCGAAGCAGAGCTCATAATGAGTTTCTATAGAAATCATACATCTATAGAAGAAATGCCATAGAAATCATACAACTTCGAGGGATTTTATAAATGTTTATAAATTTGTCATGAATATGGGTACGGTAAAAACATCGAATATTTTCTTTTCTTTAGCTGTCCAAGTCCAATGCCAGTCACGTTTATTTAAAGCGCAGTGATCTCAATACAGAAGGGACCTACGGCTGTGAAGTATCATCCGAAGCTCCACATTTCAAAACTGTCAAGGCGGAGGATGAACTAAGAGTCTACGGTAAGCATTCTCTATTTTGACACTCAATTTGTAATGATTACTGTTAATGTAATTAGTAATTATTACTAATTAGTAATTAGTAATGATTACTGTTATTGACTTTTCTTCTTCAGTATATTTAGAACGTGTTAAGTTTCCAAGACTTGATTTCTCCCCAATTATCAATTCTTCCCTAAATTAAGACGTCATATATGGCCAAAATGATACATTTATCAGGAATTAGACATTTTGTTCTTTTTTCCCTTCTTTCTCGTGTAGTTCCAACAATATTTCAGAAAATGTGACTTCCGTGTGACTATAAATGACAGATTTTCATCATCATTCAAAATATTAAGATATCCACGACTAGATATTTCTGGTAAGGATTGATTATGGACATACGGCTACCGATTAAAAATAAATAAAATAATATACAGTTTTCACATGATAATTTGTATATATATATGTATATAATTTAAAATTTAATAATTTAAATTTTTAGTAAAAAGTAATAAAAATTTCAATAATTAAAGACAAATTAGGTATTTTATTGAAATATATTTTTATTTAATAAATATGTAGGATAATGTTTAAATTTTTAGTGAAAAGTTTAATTGTTATTTTAAATTTTATTAAAAACTTCTGAACAGTTTTTATTAAAAAGAATAATAACAATAGTGTGCCTGGGAATAAATTGTTTCTTATCATACCGAAACTTTATGTATGACAATACTAGATGTTAAAATATTAAATTTATAAAATTAAATTTGGCTGAATAAAATCTTAGACTGACGCCAAACGTCTCCTCATATTTTCTAAAATTAACATACAGCGTTTTTCAAAGTGGTTACTTGAAAGTAATACTATATTCTTCTAGGATCGTCGACGTCGCTAGAGCTGTTTTAGATTAGTTTGGTAATTTTCTGCACTAACTTTTGGACAAGACACCAAAAACAGTCCTTCTTGATGATTAAATGCCTAATGTATCCATAAGAAGAAATTTTTCTGCATATCTCACAAGTCATTTTTAAACACCTGACAGCATTCTGAGGCAATATTTTTAGTATATTTAAAAGAATATTTATTCTAATATATATCAGACCCGTTTAATAATCATTTATATAAATCTGAGTTGCAAAAACTTGCGTTTGGCACAGTGTCACGAATATGGATTGGTAATAAGCCAATTTTAAGTGACTTAACATTCAGCTATGCTTCGAATCATTATGATCAGTCAATGAAGCCAAAAATATAATTATTATTGCAAAATGTTGTTTACAAAATGCATTCATTACACATTAATTTAGTAATTCTTCCAAAAAAAAGATTTAAAAAATGAGCTCAGAGTCAAATAAATTTAATTTTAATTCTGAAGTTGAGAGATTAAGAATCCTCAAAGTACTTTTCTTCGAGCGAATCTTGACATAGCTTCCTTAAATCACGTAATCCAGCTAAAAATTTGAAGCGGAAAGACGAGCTCTAAATTTAACCTCCTTAGCTTTTTTAGATATACCTTTAATAAATAATTATTCTTACATAGATGCATTTCTGAAAAAACGCGTAGCCAGTAATCTAAGGAAATATTTATTGGGAAATAAGTTTTAGTTTCCTTAAAAGAATTGAGAAAATGCTTCAGAGCAACCACTAGGTTATGTAATGATTACTATCATAACATTCATGCAACTGACTTATATATAAGATTCTAAGAAATAATTGCATATAATGAGATCATAAAATATAATCTGATGTAATATTTATTTTAAAAAACTTTCAGTATTTTTGAAGCTGCTGAACATTAAAAGTTCGACATGGATTCGATTCCAGCGAGCGGTCTGGCTGCATGATGTTATCGTGTTTTTTTTTTTTTTTTTTTTTTTTTTTTTTTTTTTTTTTTTTTTTTTCATATGTGTAAAATGTATATGAGCCACTATCTCTTGGGAAATCCTCCGCGAAAGCATATCTTCTCTTTACTTTTAGAAGACCAAGGCCTTCGCTGTCCTGTATGCTTAAAATACTGAATATCCTGAAATTCCATTTGAGATCCACAATGATTTCTTCCCGCCATCATTAACGAGCAAAGAGGTTTGAAGGTTTCAAATTATATCATTTCTAGTTTCTAATAAAGGAGTTTCTATTAGTCCCTGAATGTATACTCTTTTGTAAAAGGGCTCTGCAGGTCAGACAAGGTCTTTTGTCAGACCAACAAGAAAGCGGTATGATGCTTAATCTGCCGTGAAAGTTGTTTATACAATAATAAGAATTTCTCATTAAAATGTTATACGTAATACATGCATTGTATTTTGTCATTTGAATTGCACTGTCATAAATATTATTCTCTAAATATTATTACTGATTACCCGATTTTTAACGACACTGTTCGCCTAAAAATTTCGAAATTACATTTTATTTTTCAAAACAATGAATTGTTAATTTATATTTTAGTTTTTAATCTGTGCTTTTCTGTTTTTTCAAATAACATTAATTTATAAAGATACAGCATTAAAAGTCTGAGAATCTTCAGAAAATTGTACCAATGTATGGAAATATGGATTACTATATTGTTTCTTTTCTTTTCTACACAAATAGATAACTGGATTTTACGCAAAACATTTTCGACAGTTTGTAATTTTTCATTTTATATATTTTGTACGCGAACTGTGTTAAAACTGTCTTGCTTGAAATGCAAGTAATATTTCTCAATTCCGTTCCAGTTCCTTCAATACCTCATATTCGAGATGAAGTAAATGAAAATAATTGACTAATGGAGCTTTGCTCCACTAAAAATAAGCAATCACAAAAGAATGCTTTTAGGTCAAGCTGTCTACAATAAACTGATAAAATGCATTTGGGTAGGGGGGAACTGCGCCTTAGGCTGTATCATACTTCAGGGAAAGGCTAAAAAACAGGACAGGACGATCTCGGCCGTTCGAGTTGCTGTTGGTCGTTTGAATGATGGACCGTATTGGGCGTTTTAGTTGTGAAAAGTTTAAGAAAGTTCCCCTTGCGTGCTTTACCACGATCAAATAAAATAACCAAACCAAAACAATGGTGTATTCTTAAACATATGAAAAGTCATTCCACAAAATTGTGCATAAATATGTTAAAATTTTTATTCTAAATATGAAAGTAATTTTTTATTGCCATTAATTAATTTTCTCTTCTTTGTGCAGTTTTGCCGAAGGAGCCTCCTGTGATAGAAGGTGCAGATTCAATGTATGAAGTAGGAGATAAAGTCAATGTCACTTGCAGCTCTGGCCCTTCCAAACCTGCGGCGACGCTAAGTTGGTTTATCAATGGAGTTCAGGTAATTCTTCTCTTGCATTTGAGACACCAGATTATTAAAAATTAAAATTAAATAAAGTTAAGTAAATTTTTTCCTATTTAGTGTATAATTAAGACAGAGAAACGTATCAAACGCTTGCGTATTTATTTCTAATGACCCCACTTTGTGTAAACATGAAGGCTTTATCGTGAAATGGCGGCATTTTTTATTATGGTGATAAATTATTTGAGTGAATTCAGTATAAAAATGTAATTTGCTTAAAAACTGAAAATAACTGAAAATTGTTACTTTTGGGGAGAAGGGGTTTTATGGAAAATAAAATATTTTAGCTGTTAACAGTTCATTTTAGGCAAATAATAAATAAATAAAGTAGAAATAGTAAATATATGTAAAAGAATCTAGAGATGGTCAAAATGCTGTATAATGGAATCAGCTCAGAACCATTCATTCAACGAACTGAAACGACTCTTTTTTGTTTTTTAATCACCACTCACTAATAATAGCTTTGATGAAAAGGATGGGGAACGAATAGCGATAATGGAGTGAAGATCTTAAAGAATCGAACGAGCAGCTGGGATCGGGAACGGTTAACAAGGCGAGAGCGAAGAGTGAAAAGAATCGAACGAGCAGTGGGACTGGAAAAATCGACTTAATCAAATGCTAGCTCCCTCAACTGATTTCTCCAAACTGTAATTTTCATATCCCCTAGTCTCTTTTCTACATAACTAAAAATGAAATTTTTGAATGTAATGTTTACAGAATGTTGGGAAATGTTAAGAATTAAACTCACTTTTAACATATGAAGATAATCATTTTTTTTATTTCTTTAAAAGGGAACTGAACTTTGTTGCACGCTTCTAACAAAAACTCTCGGTGGATGAATTCCTAAACAGCCACAGATTTCTTTTTTTTTTTTTTTCCAGAATCAGGCTTTCACTTGCTCAATCGGTTCTTTAAATCAGTTCGTGAACAAATATCATATATCTAAAGAAATCATGACTCGTAGTATTTTACATTTAACTCTACTATGAATATTGTTTTTAACTGTGAACTCTGTTCTTTAATTCATTCATAATATTGTTGGTAGAGTATTTCCTTCCTTTATTTTAAAATTAACAAATATTTGACAGCTGATAAACCACTCTCATTCTTCTAAAATGTCAATATATTATTAATTAACTCAAATTCAAATGTACATTTGCAATTAGTATTTGACAGTCATAAAGAAAGCAAAATCCATAAAATGTCAAATATGTTTTCATTGGAAATAACTTAATTCAGAGAAATATACAAAAATTTCTCTCTATCATTTAGCAACCGAATAGGCTTCAAGATTCTACTCCTGATTTTAAGTTAAAGGAAACGAATTGCTTAGAACATTATACCTACTTCACCATTGTTATCAGTATCATTTATATTAACATACTTTCAAATAACGCGATTCTGTTTTTAAGAAATAACTAATGACAAATTTTCAAGTAAAGTTGTAGAGACATTAGTTTTTTTTTTTTTTTTTTTTTTTTTTTTTTTTTTTTTTGAGGCAGGCAAGATGAAGAATAAGCAACCGCCTTCGCCGGGAATCGAACCACGGACCTCTAGAATACCGGCTCAGCATGCAGAACCACTACACCACGAAAGCACGCTAGGAAAATGGGAGAAAAACCTTATAAAGTCAGTTTTTAGTCCAACCGGTTAAGATATAAATTTATATGTATATTAATAATAAAATAATGGTTATTAATTGTTTTGTCGGTTTTTTTTATTCTGCAAGTTTGTTATTGACATCGGGATAATATTTTACAGTGCGTTTTTTAAATTTAATTTTATAAATCTTTTGAAAAATCAATAATATACTATATGGGATCATTTCTTCAATTTGTTTAAAGCTACTAAGGAAAGCTAAATGTTGATTATGCTAGAGAAAAGAATTTCAAAACTTCGATGATTTCAAAGGAAAACAGCTGCAACTTTTGGGCTATTATTCTACAGAATTAAAGAGCAGTTTCAGTACTTCGAACAGACTTAAAAGTCTGATTAATGGAAGCAAGATCGCCCGCCTTATTTTGATACAAACGAATATATCCTGGTATTGAAAATTAAGAGAATTTTTAGATTACGTAAATTATCTCCAGAACTGATAGACAGAGTTTAATGAAAATTACATGCATGCAATTAAATACGCTACTACGGCGTTTAGAATCATAATCTCTAGTGCAAGAGAAAACATAGTATAAGTATCAAAGAAAAACAACACTTTATTTGAAATTAAAAAAACTGCTCAGCTTATCTTCTTACTAATTTCATCGTATTAAACATCATTCAAAGCATCTATTCATTTCCCTTGCAAGTTTTCTTCAAATTTTTTAGCATTTTTCTCTTTTAAAGACTTTATTTCTTCTGTCACCGGATTGATACAAAGTTCTTGTTCTCATTTTGGCAAGCGTGAAATATCTCCAAAGCTTTCTGGATTTCTATTTCTGGATATTACTAATGCTTTGTAGTGAAATGTATCCGGCGGAACATATATGTAAAAGAATGTATAGTAGTCGTTCTAATACAAACTCTTCTTTACACATTTTTTCTTTATATTTAATTAAGTCTTCAGTTGCTGTTGAACCTTATGTCTCATCATTGCCAAGAGATGTTTCTTCCTTACTTTCTTTACCAACTTGTAAAATACTGAAATGAATTAATTCTGAATCTTCAGTACTGCATTGTACATGTTTATCATATGTGAGCACTTTTTTTAACTCTTATTTAAAACAGTAGTAAGAACTTCTGTGCTGACTATTCTTTTCCTTCCATCTGTACAAATCCTAAGCCTTTTATTTCAAAAACACCGTATCCTACTGAAAATCCCTATTTTCATAAAATTTCCGCCTGTTGTTCACGTAAAAATTTGCTTTGCAGCCAAATACTCGTGTGTGACTTAATTTCGGTTTCCTACCGTTCCATATTTCATACGGTAAGGTTTTCTGTAACTTTAAGCCCCATTTCCATTAACGTGGTATGAACGCTTTGCGTCCAATCAGTGACTGATTGACACCTGTGATGATGTGCTCCAACAGACATCTATGATGGGGTGACGAAAGACTACCTCATGGAGTTGAACCATGTTTAGCTTCTCTCCTATGTTTGCGGAAGAATTGGAGTCAAGTGGTAAAAACAGGAGCAACCAGACGGCGTCAACAAAAATTAATGGCAACAGAAGCAGCGAAGCATCGCGAGAAAAAACTATTTTACTAAAAAATACTTGCTTCTGAATTTCAAAATTATTGACAAGAAATTTGCATATTGAAAAATGCAACAAATGACTGAATTTAGTTTTAAAAAAAAGATAATTACATCTACAGTGCTAGTTCGCATAGAGCAGCGATCAGTGTTAAGAAATTCAGGTGTAAAAAATACAGTTCAAGTCCATGAATTAGCACCATTTTCCCTGACAATTAAGGTAAGGTTGCTACCGACGGGCCGGTTCCTTCGTTAAGCCACCTCCATTATTTTCTGGTTATTGACAGTAGGCGCTACCTGTTGACTGTTTGGTATACTACATGAAGCTTGAAAACCGGTATCTTAACTGAGAAAAGATCCACCCTCAAACAAAATTCCTTTACATGAATATAAGACTTGTACTTTTCTTCTAATTCATCAATGTAAAGAAAATACAGATATCAGTGAGACTTTCATAGTGTTTTAGTTGTTACTGATAACATTTGAAACTGTTAAATCAGCGTTATTTGGCTATATTAACAATGGTTGTTTACTTTGCTATAAGTAAAATCAGGGACCTATTACATACCGACTGCTAGTAGCTTTCAATGAGCCAGCCTGCGTTGCTATGAATTGGCTGGTGGTCCAACAATGGAAACCATATCGAGGCTAATATTTTGTAACCTTCTCAAATTGAAGAACGAAATGTCACTATATCTGATTTAGTAAAATGTTCTCATGCGTAATTAAATCTATAATTAGATAATGATTTCATTTTCTTTGCTATAAAAATAATTATAAGCTATTAATCTAATTTTAATCTAAACCGAAGTATCCTTAATTTGTGTGTAAAATGAATATTTTATTATAATTATCCTAATGATTTTCATTACTTCTTGCGTAATTTATGCCTATTTATAGTTTTAATATTGTATATGTGCAATAAATAGATTAAGTAATATTAAGGAACAAGTTTCTAAGCCAGAGACGGAGAAAAGGAAAATTAGAAGTTGTCACCCAGTTCCATATAGCAAGATTGTTTGGGAAAGCATGTGGACAAGCAGACACAGTAGGGACAACAATGAATGGTTTTTCTAAAACAGGAGTTTGGTCAATGAACAGAGCTGTATATCAAGACTCTCATTTTGTTGCAGCAGTGCAGTTTGAGACAAATGATGTTCCTGTTGCAGAAGTTCCTGACACAAGCCTAACTGCTTCTACCAGTGGACTGTCACATGACATGCAGTCTCCAGAGCAAAAAGTCTGTTTCAACTACCAGTGGAACAGAATCAGAACCGCTTCCAGCTGATGGATCAATTAGTGCTGTCAAAAGTTAAAGCGTCTTTGGGAGAAATCTCTCCGATTCCATCTAAATTCTCAGTTGGAAAGAGATCAAACAAAGCTCAACAATACTGGTAACAAATAGGCCATAGAAGCAGATTCTGGAAGAGACTTAAAAATAAACAAAAGGAAGAAGAGGCACTGCTGTGTAAAGACGACTCAAAACTTTGGGCCCCGAGAAGACAGTAAAGGCTAAACTTTAATTGCCTTCAGTAAATAGGCCTATCAATTCCAGTGAGGATTCGTGGCTTTGTGCTATCTGTTGTGATGACTTCAAGGAAGATATGATTCAATGTCTATCGTGTATAGTGTAGTGTCTATCGTGTATACTTAGGAGAAGCGGTACTGGTGTCAGAATGGGGATCAAAATGCATTATTGCGGAAAATCCAACTGAACTCATCAATAACGAATAATTGATGTAGTAATTTGTATAAGAATTACAGCCTATTATTAATAATAGGCTTACTAATTATTTTATGCTATTTTAAATCTTTCAAATTATGGTACTAGCATA